AAATTGCGCATATTCGTTGTTTTGATTGTCGATCAGTGAAAATCGGTCGGTACCACTGGTAGGTTGGGAGCATGAGGTTAAGAGGAATGCCCCCGGGGGCATGCCTAGGGCATGCCCTTTGATCAAAAGGCATGCCCCTATCATGTGATATAGGGCTATAATATAATTGGTCAATTAGAATTAAAGCCTACTATTGCTAATTACGATAATTTATGATATATATATCTATAGAGGGCATGCCCTGGGCATAGAGGGGCATGCCCTTCGCAAAGGCATGCCCCAAAAATTTTGCCGTGCCCCCAACCCTAGCCACTGGGGTAGTGACCAAAAACTAGAATTCGGTTTCCAAGTTTATTATTTGTCGTGAATGATCGAAGTTCAGATAATACTGAAATTAATGCGTCTGATTGGTTAGGAATAGGGTGATTAGTTTAGATTTTAGTATCATCCGAATTTCACGACATTTACTATACTCAACCCTGATCAGAAACATATATAATACCTATGTACCATATTTTCATGCAATAACGCCCATCTACGCGTTATCTGAGTATATGCGCATTATCTTGAGTACGCGCATATGCGTTATTTTGAGATAAAGTTGATATACATATATGAGTACTTTGATCCAAGCAAGCGCGTTATTTGGAGTGGCACGATTTTCGAAATAACACTCATGAGCGTTATTACGCGAAAATACAGTAAGTAAATTTGATCATATATCACATATGTCGAGGTCAAGACTAATCCCGATAAATAATAAATGCGAGGCCTGGTCCAAGTTGTGATAGTAGCAAATGGATAATTTTCAATTACTAATTATTAATAAGCAAAAAATAACCAGTTGGACCAATTAATAATAAAATTGAAAATCCACGCAAATTATGGATTTTGATTGGTCAATCAGATAAAAACAATCGTTATTCTCCGAAAATAACCGTATTGCGGACTGATCGTGTTGGTTCTTCGGACTTAAAATGGTCTCCACATACCTAGTAACTAGAGTTGCAGACATTAGAATATCAATTAACATACACTATGACGTATATAGTGACGTATTACTTTATATATAAATCTTATATGACGTGAAAAGGTCACTACCTTTGACCTTCTAAATGTCTGCACCTATACTAGTAACTATATACTCCAAGTGCAATTCCTAAAAAAACTAAAACAAGATTAGAAATGAGGGCTTGAGGATCAATTATCCTCCCAAAAAAACTCTAAAGTATAAACTATGGAATGTATTTTATGGTTAATATCTAATTAGGAATTAATACAAGAGAAACGTTTAATGAATTCATCAAATGCCTCATTTATTTTCTTCCATTCTCCTTCTGCACAAAAGCTACACCATCTTTCAACGAATATTAATATACCTAACATAAATTTTTGTTCATTGGCATAGTCAAGACTAAACAACGAATAATATAGATGTTGCATGATTAATGGAAATAGAGTAAAGAGATTCTGTGTGTTTTTGCGTTTACGTGAGGAAAGAGAAGGTGAAGAATATAGGATCCTAAGAATGTCACAAAGCTTTTCATGTTTTTATTATGTATAACGGTAGTGTATATAAAATAATAAGATTTAATAACATTTTAATAGATGTATGGTTGAGAATGAATAATGAGCTTACTTTCTCAACACCAGAGATGGCCTTCTTGATCACCACACGCTTTAGATTTATCACTTTTAAATATTCTTTTGTAATACTTATACGGTTCCAATGAAACTCTTTGCTATTGCAGAACCACCTTACTTTTATTGCATCAAACTTTTCTCTGGATAGATGTAAAACATCTCCCATAGTTTCCATTTTTGCAATCGCCTTGAGAACGCTTTGCTGAAATAAGCTATCTTCCTGTTCTTTAAACATTAGTTCTGTCCAATTGCCTAATGTAAATCTGCCCTTTTGTTCTATAATATGGGCAATTTTCCAGCAATTCCAAGTAATAGTTATCAACCGAGTGCTCTCTCTCCAGAGTAAGGGGATAGGGTGAAATCTAGAATTATAGTTGGATATCCAATTCTCATAATTTTGTAATATTTCATCATTCATAACAAATTGCGGATCATCGATCCCGATCACATCAACTTGCTCAATGAGTACTTTGGATTTATATCTGCTCCATATAATGACCAAAAGACAAATATAATATTCATATAATGGATTAGACTCTGTGGACGTGATGAGGCAGTTCGCCTCTCCGTGTGCTATACGATCCCTTAACCTAGGACCAGCGTTATAAACAAAAAGATCAAGCATAAGATCCTTTTTTATTATAAAATCAGTTAATTATGAGTTTATTGAACATGAACAACGATAAACAGGTTAGTTATGTACCATAATACCACCCCCAAACTCTTCATAAATCTGATTTCTAGGCACCTCGTCCTTAATTTCTTTTTCTGAACCATAATATGCCCAAGCAACTTTTTCTTCCAAAATAATGTCCAAGGTTAAAAAATATTGACCAACTTCCACAGTACCTAGCCAATGTTCTTGCACTCCATTCACACAAACAAAAATTCTGCGCAAACAATGTTCAAAAAGGGGAAGTGAAAGAATTAGAAAAAGAATTACTTGATTATAAGTTAAAAAATTAAGCGCATGAAACCATGTTGAATGTGTTTGATAAATTACGAAAAAATTCTTGTAAAGTAGGTTTTTTAATATATGAGAATGTGGGTATTGGGGTGGTACTGCTATTGATTGTTCAGAACTAATGTTAAAATAATAATAATTATAATAATTAAACCCAGAAAAAAAAAAATAGCTTTATAAATACGAACTTTGACTAAACATGACGCGTTCGTATTCTTGATCAAAAATTTTATTAATTTCATCACTAGTAATAATATTTTCCGCAATAATGTTGGGTTGAGATAAATGAAAAAAACCTTTAAAACTTGCACCATTCCTTTTCTTTAATGATTCTATCAACCCACGGAGCCTTACTCTGTGACAAACAGTTAGAGTGACTACCATAATGAGGGCAGAATACCATTTAGCGGGAATAGGTAAAAATTCGTTAGGACTAACAAACCCATGCCAAAGAATATTTCTCAAATTCATCGAGTTTGGAGGCCCAATTAAACAACGTAGAAAGAAAATAACGTCTTCTCCTAACAGGGGAACAAGTGGTGGAGCAATAAGAAGATCGCGAATAAGAGATGGAATCATAAATGTGTCATTATGAATGGAATATATTATCTAAATAATAGAAAAAGTTAAAGACACGCGTTTGATTAAACCATAAATGACAAATCACATACATCGCCCAATATCCTCTCTAAAGATGAAATCTCCAAAAGAAGTAATGTGAAAAAATCTTGTTTATGATATAAATCTATGCATTTGGCGAATATCTATAAACATAAAGGTTTTTGTCGTTATGACATTTAACCGATAATTTCAATTTAATTAATTATTATTTCATACATCATTATAACCGCACCATTTCAACTCTTCGATATATAAGTCAAAAAAATCATTAGCTGTTGATATGTTAGAATCAATGAATTGTGCAACCTTTATTGCAACAAGTTTGATTTTAGGCGACGCTTTATCGAAAGCCTCCGCCTCTGAAGTGTCAAACGGGAACGGATCTTACAGATAGAGAAAATATGTAAGTTTTGGTAAACTTTGATTAAATATAGATACCCTGAGATTCATACGTACTTTCCCAAACGCTAAGCATCGCTTCTTGTTGAAGTAAACCATTTTTACAAATTACGTTTCCGAGAGAGATATCACTACCAATAACGGTTTCATTGCTCTCTGTTGGTAAAATCAACTGTACGACGCGTGCACTCAAGCAACTTTGCCATTGGTGCAAAACTCTTTCAAAAGTGTTCTGAACGTTTTCGCCAGAAGGTACAGAAAGTTGCAATATTTTGCCCAGTCTGAAAGTCTCGAATAAAGGGTTTATTGTCGCCATGATAATAAAAAAGTAAAAAAAAAAAAAAACTAGTCATTGACTCACGAATCAATTGAATTATGGTAAATTGTGGATCTGCCAACAATTATTCATTGAACCTAGCTGCCGCACCAATTTTGTCACGGATGATTCTTGATTTTGATTGCTATGAGCGACGATCTCTTGATTTTGATTGGCTAAGAGCGACGATCAATAATTTAGGTCAAAATTTTGTAGATCAC